ACCCAAGTTTCTTTTTTTTTTCCTTGGAGGGTCGGTTCGGGTTGGGCGGTTTTTGTGGACCAACCCGTGACCCGACCCACCATGATTTAAAAAAACCGAACCCATCCAAAAAAATTGAAAAAACCGACCCAAACCGGTCGGTTTGGGCGGTTGGAGCGGGTTGGGCGGTTTTTTGCCCACCCCTAATTTAAAGTATGAATAGAAAAAGAATGTGTAGAAACCTACGGGGTTGGGCTTCATCCAGGATCCCCTTGGCTCCGCCTCTGAACAGCTCAATATACTTTTGTTACAACGTCGGTATTTTTGTGAAGGAATAAGAAAATATTAGAGGAAAGGAAAACAAGTTGCTCATACTTTAAGGATTAAAAAGTAAAAACTCCCAAACAACTCAAAAGGTTGAATTATTTTCAGTCCCTTCTTTATTTCATGAGCTTAAATACAAGAAAATTCTGACATTGGTTTTTCAATAAATAGAAACTATCTAGCAACTAAATTGCTACCAACAATGCTTTTGGTCCATATCATTAGGAAAGGAATTTGAACAAACAGAAACAAAACAATTTGCACCTAATTTGGTCATAACATTCAATTTTCACCTAATTCGGTCATAACATTCCCTCGAAGTAATAACAATGAATTTCTTTCAAATGTTATTTTCTTATTCCGTCACAAAAATACCGAGCTTGTAACATATGACATCAGAGCCAAAATGGAGTAATTGCCCCGAGAGATTACCAAAAATCGTGGAATCAATAATTCTTAAACAAATGGAGTTTGTCAAGAAACTTTCTTGTATGATTGATGAAATATCAAGAATGTGGGATGCATAGTTTAATTCATCATCGAGTGGCCACGGCATAAGATATGTAAAAAAAAAATTATTTCGTTCATATGTTATTTTCTTACTCCCTCACAAAAATACTGAGCTCGTAACATATGGCATCAGAGCCAAGATGGAGTAATTGCCTGAGGGCTTACCAAAAATTGTGGAATCAATAATTCTCAAAGTGGAGTTTGTCGAGAAACTTTCTTGTAAGACTGATGAAATATCGAGAATGTGGAATGCATGGTTTAATTCATCATCAAGTGGCCATGGCATAAGATATGTAAAAGAAAATTTTATATAATTAGGTTGAAACTTAAAGTTTCCAAGTTTCAACAATCCAT